ACAACTGAACTCCTGATGGGCACCAGGGGCTCACAGAAAGCGGGCAGCTTGTGAGGGCACCGAGGCCAAGCCCAGGGCTTCATCTAGACTCTCCTGTGTCCCCAGGTTCTATGGGGACAACTCTGCGGCTGCTCTGCTCAGTCAGATCTAGTGCTTCCCTGCTACACCTACAACTGTTCCCTAAAGCTGAACCTACATCTCACTGCCTGGAGTTGACGTCGTGCCTGGCTTGGCAAAACGAGCTCCGCTTTCTCCTTCCTCTCTGCCTCTGGCACGTGTGAAATCTCGTATCCTGTTTCCCCCGAAGTGGCTCCTGCCTCGCTCGCTTCTGCCCGGCACTGGCTCTCCACAGGCGGGCTGGCTCCGCGCGGCGCCTGCAGCTCCTCCGCAGCCCAGTGCCCAAATATGGCTCCGCGCTGCAGCACGGCAGAGCGCATGCCGGCCGCAGCCCCGCATTACTTCATCCCTTGTATATGCAACACACCTATTTATACATTTTAATGGCGTGGTTGCCTTTCTCACAGTCATATTCCTCGTGTGGCATGGGAGAGCTGCCACCACCCTCTCCCTGTTCTCCTCCTGTCCCTTTGCTCCCCTCCTGCAATGTGCATTTGCTCACTCCAGACCTTTTCTTTCAGTTACACAAAGTAAGTGCTTTGAACTCCAAGCCCGATTTCTGAGATGCTTTGCAAGCTTCCCGGCTTGCTGTCCCCTCCAAACAGGCAGGCCAGCTGCCAGCTCTGACCTCCCTGTCACTCATGACAGTGTCAAATAGGATCCTTCTAGAGACAGATCCTTGCAAAACTCCTCCCAGTGCATCCCTGCAAAGTGCTCAGCAGCAGTCAGGAGCTCTTCTTTGAATAGTTTCTTATTCTGGCAAAATTAGACTCTGTGGACACAGCCATACTTCTAAAACAATGCTACACGTTACTCTCCCTTCTCTTCTGCATGCTCACAGGTAATATATTTGCTCCTGTATTTCCCCAGGAAGGTACGGTCTGTATTTCCCTCCATCCCCTTTCTGAGGAGAGGTGCTGCTTGTCCTCCCTCAGCCTTTCAGAGTCTCACCCTGTATCTGCATAGGCTCAAAGGCCATTGCCAGCTGTGAGCCAGATGTGAGGATTTCTGCTGCGCTCTTGGATGAATTTCTTCACTCACAAGACACTGGAAAAGCTCTAATGCACCTGAGCTATCCTTCAACTGATCTCCCCTGTTGCAACCCACGTTCTTCCCCTGCTGTCACTGATGTTAAAATTACCAATCCATTTAGTGATGACTAAAGGGAAAAAAAGCAATGGAGCACTTGGCGTTGGGGCGGTCACAATTAGCTTTCTTTCCCCTCCATGAAGAACCACCTTCCTTCAGCTTCTTGCTAAATGTAGACACGGTGCCTTGGGGATGCGTGGGCAGCAGTGGTGTGCGGGCTGCACGGTCGCTATGTGCACTGGCAAGCAGCCCTGGGCCACTGCCTTGCGCCACCAGGGCCTGCGGGTGCCTGCGGAGGACAGAAAGGCCGGGCAGGACTTCTAGCCGTATGGCCAGGCTGCCAGTGTCAGCCTGCAACTGGAAACTGTTTTAGACAGGCGCGCAACTGGAAACTGTTTTAGTCAGCCAGCAACTGGAAACTGTTTTAGACAGGCGCACTTGGCTTACTAGAGCCAGTTCTGCTTAGCTCCTTCTTAGGAGCATTTAAAGACAACCTTTTTCTTGTGGAGCGAGCTGAAATTAGCCAGGGCCCTGTCAACAGGGGCACGTGCGGGCCAGGCCTCAACAGTGTTCAGGGAGAAACATGGGACAGCTGAGCCGGGCTGAGCCCCTGCACCTGGCGCAGGTGGTGGCCGTGTCCCTGGCGCGGGGGTGTCCTGGGAGCTGTGTGCGGGCGCCCCAGTGGCTCCTAGCCCATGAGCTTGGGGGAGAGCTCGGCAAGGGGCCGCCAGGTCGGGCCTCGCTGTGCAGCTCGTGCTGTTCTGTGGTGGGCACCATGGCTGCAAAGCAGAGCTCAGGGTGGCCACGGGGCCACAGTTCAGCCAGAGGGACCTGCTGGCTGCTGGCTTTGCCCCTCACTCCCTACCCAATGTCAGGGACCCGCATTTGGCCTCAGGGCCCCCCCATGGTGACTCCTCACAGCACAGCCGCTCGCTGGGCCCAGCCCTGGCGCCGGGTGCAGGGCGGCAGCAGTTACCCACGCAGCCCAGCCGCCAGGCACAGCTAGCGGCTTAGAGACCCACGGGGCCATCAGCAGGAGCCAGGATCACCCCAGATGGAGGAGGGCAGCTGGCAGCGAGCCCATGGCAGGTCAGCCTGGCTGCATGTCCAGCCTGGGCGAAACCACTGCAGCCAGGTTGCTCACACGCACAGCGGTCTCTCCTGCCTTCCCAGGGCCTCACTCTGCCCTCCCACCAGCTCCATGGTTCACGCAATCCCCCAGGGTGGCTCATGTCACCCAGCTGGAGTCACCAGGGCTGCCCGTGGCTCTAGACATCACCTCAGTGACCCAACGCAGCGTCCTGCAGGTTGCCTCCTGCCGCCGTTGCTGGGTCCCCCCCAAACATCATTTCCATGCTCTGTGAGACACTGTTACTTCATGTTTATTTTTATCCTTCTCCATCATTCCCAGGCTCTTGCCATCATTAGCACAGTAGATATTAGCTCATCCTCACTATAGGCATATTTGGAATCGCTCTGTGTTTCCCCTAAGGGAGCTACAAAAAAAGCTGCATGTAACCCTGGTGCATTGTTCCTCCTACAACCCTGTCGTGGGCTCCCGCCAACCTTCGTGTGTTGTTCCTCCCATAACCCTGGCATGGTGTTCCTGCCGTAACCTTGATGTGGTGTTCCTGCTGTAACCCCTGCATAGTGTTCCTGCTGTAGCCTTGGTGCGGTGTTCCTCCCGTAACCCCGGCACAGTGTTCCTGCTGTAACCTTGGTGTGTTGTTCCTCCCGTAACCCTGGCGCTGTGTTCCTCCCGTAGCCTTACCAGGCTCGGGCAGCTGCGTTCCCCACAGATCTCCAGGCTTGCCAGACCCCAAAACGCTCTTTCTGCCACTCTGGCACTGTTGTCAGTGTCGCTGCCCGTCTGCCACTTGTGAGCAAAACCCTTTTGCAGCCCAGGAGGAGCCCGAGGGCCCCATGCTGTAGACGCGCTCTGAGCTTGTTGAACACCCTCAGCAGCATGTTCAGCGCTCAAGCACAGCCAGTGTGGCCACTGGGTCCTCCTTCAGAGGTGCCACACTGCACGCGTTCTGGATCTGGCCCTCCTCTCCCCTGCCTGTGCTTGCCATCATCATATCCACGGAGCTACCAACAAACCCTTCCCTATGCCCCATTCCCAGACAGGGATCCAATTGGCCCCAGGATCGCTTTGCCCCTCAGGCAGGATTTTGAAAATGCTGTAGTGCTCTCCGGGTAGAAAACACAGTCAGGACCTCTGGCCTACTCAAAAAATAGAGATTTCACTTGTCCTAGTGAGAGGAGATATCACACTATGGTTAAGTTTATCTTCAGAAAATGGGGCTTAGGAGGAAATAAGGAAATCCCCTTCCTGACATTCCCCAGCAAGTTCACAGGGAAGTCTCTAAAGTGGGGGGGCATGAAGGGGCTTCATGCTGTGCACACTCCAGTGATGTGGTCTGAAAGAAACACCCAGCAAAGCTCTGGCCCTTGCTCCTACCATGAGATGCAGAGCTGCAACAGAGAACTGGGGGAGGAAAACCACATTTCAGTCAACTGGAAGAAATGTACTTTGAAAGATTTTATTTGTTTGTGGGAATTATTCCTCACAATAGCTCTGGAAGCATAATTTTGTGACGGAAGTCTTTGGAAACTCTGTATTAGAAAGAGGCAAATCAAACAACCAGCACAAACATCCACAGGATTGCATATATGGCAGTTCACAGCAAATTGCATAAGGGCATCTAGGCACAAAACCAAAACCTGAAAAACAATGTCATAAATAACTGCTCAGTTTGCCTGCAAAAACAAGGGTACATGCTTTTTCAAAGTTGCTTCCTAGCAACACGGTTTTTGATTCTAAAGAACTTTTTCGGGCCTTACAGGCCTGGGAATAAGCCCAGGATGCCTGCTGCATTGGCACAGACAGCCCAAAGCGTCTTTTCCAGGGTGTATTGTCTGTTATCTGTCAGTTGCTATTTCGGGCTGTCTAGATAATGAATGTGGTGAAGTGTACCCAGAAGCAAAAAGCAGAAGAGCTCTTAGGACAAGTTGCCACCATCAGACCCTAAACAATCTGGCAGGTATTTGTGCACGAGCTGGCACATCCGAGCAGTCCTTGAGGCAAGCCCAAACAAACTTGCGCAATAGGAATCTCGCTGGAGGTGCTAGAGGTGAGCTAAGGTATGAGCTCAGAAGAGCTACAACTTAGGAACTAATCCAAGGACACAAAAGAGTTTCACGAGACTGCGGTCACATAGGAACTGGAGGACACAGAGCACTGACTGCCAGGGCATTTGGGTGACAAAAAAAGCCACAGATTGTTCTAGAGCTCCCTGCTGTCCCCTGGCTGTCAGCATTGCCTCTGCTCTGCAGAGCCACCTACCTTGCACAAGACCAGCCAGGACGATCAGAAGTAAAGGGGTGAAGATAGTGAGGCTATGGAAGAATTATACAAGGCTCTGTGTACTTCAGAGACAGTAAACCCAAATGTGTTACTATTTCCTCCTTCTATTTATATTATCCCACAGTATCTGTTTTCATCCCACTGATCTTTCATAGCAAATATTCCAAACAAATATGTAAGGAACACACAAAACACCCCCAAATTAAAGGCCTTTGCTTGGACTTCCTTGACCATGCCTCATTCACAGAGCATTAGGAATGAGTGATGCATCTGGAGGAGAACAGAAGTCACCCAGTAGAGACTGGGCTGCTGTCTCGTCACCTCCAACGCTCTTACAAAGTGTGCACTGGGACGGAACAAGAACTGGTCCAAGAAAGGACAACCATGGCCACAGTCTGCTATAATGTACTCGTCTCTAAGAATTCTCCTAATCCCAAGAGCAAGATTTGCTCTCTGCAGTAAACCACTACAGTAAGTTGACTTTGGCCACAACCTGCTTGCAGCCTGTTGTGGAGTACTGCTTGCCTCCTGTAGTGTAGTAACTAAGCTGACTGGCTAAATTTTCAATATGGTTCTGGTCAGGATACAGCCCTTCCCTCCTCATCTCCTCTAGAAAGCAGTTTATGACGTGGCTCTTCTCTAGAAGAACAAACGGGACAACATCTGCAGACTTCCAGAGCGGGTGGGTTTGGATCAGTAAAGGCTGGATGATCTTCAGCAGCTCTTCAATTCCCCTTTGCTGATGCAGAAGCTCAGTGGATGCATTCTGGATAACAAACTTTGTTATTTCACTACCTCCTATGTTGCTTATTAAAATGTAGATGGCATTGAGGAACTCATTGGTTTGATTGGGTTCAAAGAATCGGCTGAGAGTATCCAGCAGGACTGGAGACATGAATTCAACTTCATCCAGAATAAATAGTGGTATCTTCTCTTCTATTTCAGCTCTTGTAACCATGTCAGAAATCTTCTCAGACAAATCTATTTGGCAAGTAAGTTCACTTACCCAACTTGGACAGTGATGCATCACAAAGTACTGAAGCACAAAGTCATTGTCCATGACAGAGCGAAAATGTTTGGCCAACAGCCAGCCAACATGGCTCTTCCCAACTCCTCCCGGACCATTTAAAGAGATAATCAGAGGCTTGTTGTGTATGTGGGTAGCCAGATAGTCTTTCAGCAATTCCATAATACTTTCTACAGCAACATTTTGCCCAAATACTTCCCGGTGCATTGTTTTCTCCAGACCGTCTAGGTCATATTTTTGGAGGTTATCATCCAAGTTCTCAATAGCGTTTAGAATCTGGAAGAAGATAATGACAATAAGCAGGAGAAGGCAGCGTTTTGCATTGCTCTTCTCCTCTGTTGGAAGATACCTTTTTGTTTTATCCGGATACAGGACTATCCTAGACTTCCTACGTTTCTTCTTCCGCCTGCATTTACTCATAGTATAATGGTCCGCGGATGTGTCAAAGGTGAAGTACTGTGAATTTTCAAAGCTGCTCTGATTAAAGAAGGACATAGAAGAACCATAGAGGCTAGTTCGGTTCATGGAAATCTGCCTTTGAAGCAGCCTTGTTTGGACCAGCTCTGGAGATTTTTCTCGCGGGAGCTCTAAACGCAGACGACTTTTCTTTTGCATTCGGATTTGTCGCCGAATGCGGATGATAGCCCGCAAGGGAGAAGAAATGGAGGAGATTTTCTTCGGAGCAGCAAGAGTCTCTGCGTGAGGTGCCTCTTCTTTTGCATCACTCTCAGCACTGGGTGTTTCCCCTTCAGTATCGCTCTCAGTACTGAGTGTCTCTCCTCCCCTGTCACTCTCAGAACCAGGTGCCTTTTCTTTTGCATCACTCTCCACACTGGGCATCTCTCCTTCAGCATCATGCTCAGCACAGGGCTCCTCTCCTTCTCCACGGCGCTCGGCACAGGGCACCTCTCCTTCTTCCTTGCTCTCCACACCGGGGACCTCCCCTTCCTCGTGGCTTTTGGCACAGGCCACCTTTCTTCCCACATCACTCACAGCACAGGCAACCTCCCCTCCTGCATCCTCCTTGGCAGTGCGCAGTTCTGCATCCACTTCAGCACAGGGCAGCTCTCCGTCCATCGCGTTTGTTCTTACAGCCCATTCACATTCTCTTCTCTCTGAAAACAAACAAAAAAGAAGAAAATGTGAGATAAACCCCTTGTAAGATCAGGAAGTAACTGATCACAAGTCTACATATAGTCTCTTTAACCCTTGGCAAAGAAAGGCTGAAACAATTATGCAGCCAAGATACCCCATCTTTCTTACAGGCAGAAGGATTAACTGCAGTGGTCATCCGAGGTAGAGTGGTAGAGCAAAGCTAACATTTTAGAAGATATTTTAAGCACGGAAAAGTTCCTGTGACTGGCAAGGGGTAAATGGGTGAAACTGAGACTGAGATCCTAGCTCCCATCACAGGCGCTACACGTTTCAAACCCTGAACTTGGCTGATCAGCCCCCTGTAGTCCTGGCCTCCATCACAAAACTACCCAGTGGCACCAAAACCAGTCAAAGTAGTCAGCAAGAACCCGTGAAAGGGCTGAGCTGTGGCATGAGACAGTTTGCTGTCGATATGAAGCTATTCAGGACAGGAAGGGCGAGGGCAGGGTGTGAACAAAGGCAGGAGGGGTACACGCAGATCAGGGACTGGGAATACAGGACAGGTGAAACCGAGTGTAAATAAACCAAGCGGCACCGAGGAGAAAAGACAACCCTGGCTTCACATGCAGAGGGAAGGCTCGCCCAGAGCAAGAGGCAGGTGATGCAGTACACGCTGCCACGAACACACCAGCTCGGCCCTCAGCAGCAAGCAAAAAGCAAAACCTACCTTAGGAATGATTCGGAACAGAACAGAAAATTAAATGCAAAACACTATCCTGCCACTACATAAACCCCTGATTTATCCAAATATTGACTTGCGTGTGCAGTTCTCAGGCCTCGTATGAGGAAGGTGGAGAGGTGCTGAGAACGGCACTGCAGGACCGGAGACAAGGACCGGCCTCCTGGCAGAGAACAACTCAGCAACCGGGAGCCTTCAGCAGAGGAAGATGCAACAAATCTACAAAATTCTAAGTGCTGAGGAGGGATTGAGCATTTGTTTCTTCTAATACAAGAGCCAGACTATCAGGCAAAGCTAAAAGGACCAAAGCACAAAACAAAAATAAGGATTTTTTTTTTCTTAGGAGACAGTGGTTAATCTGCAGACTTGCCTGCAGCTCAGCCTGCAAAAGTCCATGCTGATCCAAGGGGAGGGAAGGATCGGAGGTTACTAAGCAGCCAAACAACGTGAGGCTCCCGCAATCTCCAGGGAGACGGGGAAGAATCCCGCTTGCCCTCTAGGCAACCAAACCCTGTCCTGTAAAGATGCAGGCCACCGACGGGTCCATGGGCCGAACCAGAAGTGCCATCCTTGGTCTGCAAAATGCCAGCACCGTGCAAAGCCACCAGCACCCTCACTCCTATGGCCGCAGAGAGCTGCCGGCTGGGCACATGTGCACGCAGGTAAGGCGCTGTGGAGGACCTCATTCCTTCTAGAACATGGCCAGCAGAAAATACACCAGGGCACAATATACCCTTTGGGGTGACTTTTCCTAGGCTGGGCAGGTAACCCCAACGCGTTCCAGTGGCTGCCGGAGGGGAGCTGAAGGCAGCTGGGACTCATCAGTGAGGGCAATTGCTCCCTCAGCCCAGAGCTCCCCACATGCTCCCGCGGGCTGGGGCCAGGCCGGGCCGGGTCGCTCATGGCCACGGACCGGAACAGCAGCCTGGCAGGGAGGCCGCGTTCGGCGGCTGAGGCAGCAGTTGCTCCTGTTATGGCAACTGCGCGGGCCTGTGCCTGAGCCCCCAAGCGCCCAGCCACGCGAGACACCCCGTACACGCGGCATCAAAGGGCTTCCTGCCTCCGTCTGCCTCCCACGTGGCCAGAGCGAGGGCTCAGGGCCACAGAGGAAAGCAAGGAGACATGAGACGAGCTGTGGGGAAAAGGCATGGGCAAACCTCGGTCCGTGAACAAGGAGGAAAAGATGAGGACTCCAGCAGGGAAGGGACGAACCTGGCAGGGAAGCCCCATGGGAGACAGCACACATCCAGGCCGGCATAAGTCCCAAGCGGACTCCACACGTGGCTGTTTCCATGTGTTGAAACAGCGCTGGTGACAGCTCTGTCCCCTGCCTGGCACGGAGACTACGTCAGCAGCGCCGGGTCACCATGGCAGAGCATTTCCCCAGCACCTCCGGACGCAGGTGGTGAGTGCTGACGCAAGGGGACAGTTAATTGCAGTGACATTGCCCGGCCCCCGAGCAGGAACAAGGGAACAGCAGGGCAGGCTGTGCTACGAAAGCCGCTTTCATCTGGCACCCAGAAAAGCAACCCCAGCTTTGCTGAAAGCCCGGCACCTCCCCTGGCGAGGGGAAGGAGGAGCTCCCGGAAGGGTTTCTATTAACTTGCTTTGGCACGGCAGGAAGTGGTGAACGTGCCCAGCACTAGATTTCTCGCTCGGGCGAGGGTTTTCTTTCCTCCAGCAGGGCCTGACTCATGAGCCTGTCCATCATGGACACCGAGAGGGTGCCTGGTGGAAACGCATGTAGAGTCACCAGCACTGGGAAATGCTCCTGGCCGCCTCCTCGCTTCACCTGGGCCCTTCCCCTGAGCCTCGGAGCCACAAAACGCTCAGGCGCGTCGAGCTGCCGTGTGAAATTCATCGGCACCCATCTGCACGCCCAGAAACCCAGTCAGGGTGAAGGGCTGCCCGGGTGGTAACCGCCGTGCGAGCAGTGCCAGGACCATGCCGCAGGATTTGGCTGTGCCTGGAGCGGAACCGCAAGCAGCCCTGGAGAGAGCGTGGGGCAGGTGGGGTGCGCCCTGCTGGGGCGGCCAGTGTGGGACCCCACCATGCACAGAGTTGGGTTTCACATTGGCCTCAGACCCACGCTTTGCGTGTGCTCCGCACACCACATGAAGGCGACAAACCAGAGACCTTTCCTAAAAGCGCAGGCCGGACTACCCAGACAATCCCCTGGGGCCGCGTCTGTCATCCCCTGCCAGAAGGAGCACTGGGTTTTGCCTGAGGACCGGCTCAACATCTGCAGCAAAGGATGCGGCTTCTATCGAAACCCACAATTAACCTTTCTCAGGCCAAAAACAATACAGGTTCAGACAGGCCTGAGGAAACGTCGAGGGGAAGTTACGGGATTTTATGGGATGGGGCTGTTGCTGGCAGGAAAGAATGAGCGAGTGCAAATACTTCCCTGCAGATGCTGTTGTGCAACTTATCGCACTGCGCAGCTGCTGCTCTCTGGCCGGGCGGACAAAGGAAGCTGCTTAGTTCTGTCTGTGCTCCCCGCGTCCCCTTTCCCACCACTGACAGCGTCTAGGAGAGGAGCTCTGGCTCTGCGCAAGGGAAAATGGAGTGGCCTGAGTTCTTGTTAGCTGGGAAGTGCCCTGGCCTTGCTGGGGCTCCCACAGCAGCACGACGATCCCTCTGAGCCAAAGAGAAGGGAGGCTGTGGGGAGGGACCTAATCCCTTCTCCAACAACAGGTAAATAAATATGTCTAGTCATGCGTTTAATAATCCTATTAATGCCATGAGTCAGTCCCTAAAGCCTGGTGGTATTTACTCAGGACCTGGACTATTTTGCAAGAGTAACCCTTCCTCGCACGATGCCCACACAGGGACACGGACAGCGGCTGCTGTGGCGCGAGGTGGATCGGCAGAGGCAGCAGCAGCCCAGGGAGGCTGCGGGTTCAGCACAGCAATGGATGCCTGGGGAACGCAGCAAGGAAAAGCAGTGGAAATTCGGTCCTCAGCTTCACAAGTGCTCTTGTAAACATCATTAGTCACTTCTCTGGGACCAGTTTAAACACACTGTAGGAAAACTTGCACTTGGCTCTTGGAAATGGTCCCGCAAGAGCATTCAGATTTCCTCCTTTAAGTTTCCTCTCAGCATTTGCATTTATTTGTCACCCGGCTCCTGCCAAAACAGTTTCCACAACAAATGGCCCTGTGGAGGCAGATGGAAGAGGGAACTGGGACATGGGTCCCACATCCTCTAGTTCCCTTGGCCAGGTGATGGGGTGGCCATCAACCACCAAGGGGCATGGGTGGCCGAGAAACACCAGAAAGGCTATGTACTGATCCCGCATGCAGGACAGCTTCGTACCTGCCTCCAGCCTCTAAAAACTGCCTTTGAGCAAGCTGCATTTACATGTACACGTATCCGAGAGGTGTGTGCGCATCTACTCAAAGCAGGTCCTGTCCCAAGACAAAGCCCGACCACGTCACATGGACTAGAACCATCTGCTTCTAGGGCAACCCTTCACTGAATTCGTGCGTGATTAAGCTCCTTTCCAGGCAGCCCTTTGCTGTTGGGGCGCAAGGCAAGGGCTCGCACTGCCCAGGTGAGGGCGGACAGCCCGCTTGGCCGCAGTGCTGTGCTTGGCACCACATGGAGGTGAGCTCCAAGCTCGCTGGGAGGCGCGAGGGCCGGCCACGCACGTGCTGCCCGCGGCGTGCCTCCCCCTTCGCTGCCATGGCGCTCACCAAGCTGATGGACGCCAAACCGACGCGCTTTCCAAGGACGACATCCGAAAGGAAGGAACGCCAGAACCCCTCAAGGGGAAAAAGGCAAAGGGGCCGGGAAAAAGAGATGCTTGAAAACTCCAAAACATGGACTAAAACTGAGCGTTTCTAGGGGGCCAAATCCTTTTTCCGGCTGCAGGAAGCAAATCCAAACTATCACAGCTAAAGCATGGGCAAACACTGGATCTTGGCACGGCCCGATATCGTGCCAAGCACCAGCAAAGCTGTAGGCACCTGCCATCACCAAGTCGGCCCCTGTAACACCCGCCAGCCTGATTTCATGCCGGGAAACCTCTGAACTTGAGCTTGGCTCCAGGCACCACTTCCCCAAAACACCTGCACGTTTTACTGCTGTTTCCCCCGGAGGAAGTCTGGGGCACCAAGGTGTTTCCTTGTGCCCAAAGCCTAGTGCCAGGAGGGTAGCAAAGGCAACTCCAAAACCCACAGGTGCACAACCCAAAAAAGTTTGCTTTCCAATCAGATACCAAAGCAGATACCTGCTTTC